GAAAGATCATAAATTATTGAAAATTCATCAACATAGTAGTAATAGTCCTTGTGAATTAGCTTTAGAAAAATTAATATTTAAAATAACTATTAAAATTTAAATAAAACATCAATAAAAATGAATTATATTCTTTGTCCAAATTGTAATAAACCTCTTCCAAATGAAGAAAATCTTTACAAATTAAGAACATTATTGTTAGGGACAACAGTAATAGGAGGAATTTTAGGATGTGCCACACTTCCTTTGTTAGGGTTTGGTTTAGCTGGTATTTCAGCTGGTTCATTTGCAGCTTCTTGGCAAGCTTCTATTGGTTCTGTTGCAGCTGGATCTTTATTTGCTACTTTACAATCTTTGGGAGCTACAGGACTAGGTATACTTTTATTTGGATCAACTGCAGCCGCATTAAGTTTATTAACTTCTATAGCAGCAAACTTAAATTGGTGCACATGTAATCAAAATGTTTCTTAATTATATTATTAAATATTTTTTTTATTACTACCCGATAAAATTTTAAGTAACTTCTATATAATATAGTTAAAGGACTTGGTTAGATGGTGTGTGTGAGTGAGATTGTGTGTGGAAAGAACTGCGTGCATTTGAGGTGATTATAGGGAAATAAGATAAATATATTTAATATAGGATAGGAAAAGGTAAAGCAGGCAGGTTAAAGGCAGAGTAAATGAAAGTGAAGGAATGGATAAAGTAGAAAAGTAAGAATTCGAAGATATAATTGAGTAAGAAGATCCCAAAAAGTAAGAGGATAAGGAAACTGGAAAGGAGGCTAGGAGGATGGTGAAAAAAATAGTTATGTTTAGAATCAGAGATTAGATTAGTTGGACTTCAGCCGCGAGAAATGAATTAAAGGAAAGAAATAAATTGAAAGATTTGTAATAGAATGATGAATTAGAAGTTGATATGTATAATGTAAATTGTAAAATATAGGAATGAGAACGAAACTGATAAATGTAAATGTTAAATGTAACAGTAGGTATAGAAAAATATTTTAAAGCAAAGATTTTGTAGTAGAATGAAGAATTAGAAGTTTATTGATGTGTATAAGTTAAAATATAGGAATGAAAAATTGAAAAATGTAGCACATATTTGTTTTAAAAAAACGTTTAACAATTGTTTCTTTGGAACGTTTCATAACCGACTCTTGAAAACGTTTCTGAGTGGTTAAAATGTCCACTCGAAAAACGTTTTAAAACACGTTTCTTTTTCAGTGAAAAAACGTTTAAGAAATATAATCAAAATATCATTTTTCCTCTATCTAGGAAAAAGTTTGTTTTTTTCACAAAATTAAATAAATTAATTTATACGATAAATTATTTAAATGATTTATTCAATTTTATTTAAAAGAATATATTTTCGGCCGAAAATCCAGGTCCTATGTGGAAATTCATGTGCTGCTATATTATTTTAACAAAAAAATTGTTTTTATTTTATAATTAATTACATATTATTATTTATAGAGTTTAATTTGTTTTACATGTTTTCTATTATTATTAATTACAATTTATACGCAGATTTATAATTTTTGAAAACACATCAGATCGGAAGAGCACACGTCT